AAAGCTTTTTCAAAAAGATAAAGCTCTAAATAGAGGAAATGACAAAAATACGGGAACTTTTGGTCTGAGATGCAAAAATGGGGGACTCGAAACTTCCAATTCCAACTAGATTAGGTTGAGAGAAAAAAAAATAAGTAAAAAAAAATTGTCGAAATACTCAATTCCGAATAGGGCTATTGAATAAAAATATTATGTCAAGCGCCAAACTCCAACAAGTTGAACAATTGTCCAAAAATATATGTGTCCACTCCATAGCAATAATATGAACTAGGTGGGCCCTAACTCTTAAGCAATTATGTTCTATATACTATAGCAACTACTCCCTCTGTTCCTATTTTATCTTCCAAATTGGTTTGGCACACAATTTAAGATAGTGGGTATTGTGTGATGGAGAGTTGTGCAGAGGAGAGAGAAATGTGTAAGAAATGTTGTGAACCACAAATTCTTTACTAAAAGGGAAAGTGAAAGTTTTAATTGGAACGGACGAAAAAGGAAAGTTGGAAGTTTTAATAGGAACGGAGGGAATATAATTATATAAGGAAATTGGTATATATAATACGGAGTATATACTTATTAAATAATCCGTAGGAATAAAATATACTCCTCCGAACCGCTACGTAGGGCTGGCAATATCACCCGCGCCCGTGAATACCTGGTCAACCTGAACCGAAAATATGGACGAAAACCCGAAGAAATATGGATGAAAAATGGATGACGGGTGGATAGAAAGACGGGTTCGATCGGGTGTGGATGAACACTCATCCAACCTGTCACCCACTCCATCCACCCGCACCCGCTGAGCCGCATATAAATATATATATATACATATATTATAATATCTATTTAATAATATTATAATAATAATAATTAATATTAATATATTAACAGATACTACATAACTACGGAGTAGCATTGTAGCGACTAAAATATGAGCCCAACCCTAATCCCGTTGAACTTCAAAAATAGTTTTGTGTTGATGTAGAATTGATAACTTGAAGAATTTTTTTATCTAATTTGTTTGACAATTAGTTCTTTCTTTATCATCGGCAGTGAACTAATGATTGTAATATACTTAATTGCTCAAGTTTTTGTAGTTATTTTTCAATGAATTCTTAATTTTTGTCATGATTTCTTTTTATAACTTATTTATTTTTCTTTCAAGTTTGACCTTTTGTATTCACCTGTTACTCACCTGATCCACCTGATAACACGTTCATGATGGATGGGTTGGATGTGGATGTAAATTTTAATGGATGATGGACGTGTGGGTGGACTATGAAAAATTAACGGGTGGACGACGGATGATCCTTCACCCGGTATAAATCCGACCCGCTGTCACCCCTACCGCTACGATTGTCACATTTTAAGAAAAATCTCACTAAAATTGTTTCATATCAAATTTGATAAAGTTTGTGTGACTCTAAATCATTTTTACTTTATTCTTACTTTATCAATTCAATATCAATCACATAAACTCACTTTTCTTAATAATTAACTCATGTTAGTATTTAACACACAATATTTAATAAGCTAATAAATATTCATTTTAAGTTAAAAATAGAAAAATAAAATATTAACACCTAAAATATTTTATATTACATAAATACAAAAACTTAAGTTGGAAGTTTGAATGGAGAAATAAAAAATAAAGGGGAAAATAAGGATATATGACCAAAACAAGTCGAGTTTCCCGTAATATTGAATGGGTATATGACAAGACAACCAAACACTGCACACGGGTACATAAATGGATGTCTCTTACGTAGTATTTTTTTAGACTAAGGCCTTGTTTGGTAAATGGTTGTTAGCTGTTGCTGGTAGCTGGTTGTGTCAGCTGTTGCGAAACAGCTGGTTGTGTCAGCTGTTGCGAAACAGCTGGTTGTGTTAACTGTTTTGACCGACTGGTTATGTTGGCTGATTATAAATAACTGTTTGGTAAAATTGGCTCTTTCGAAATGGCTGATAGAGTGTAAATTGAACCAGCCAAATGAAGAAGCTGCTCCCCTTAGCTTCTTCCACAATCCATTTTTTCAGCTTTTCAAACTCAACAAGCTAATTTTAAAAGCCATTTACCAAACATTATTATTAGCTTCTTTGACTAATCAAACAGTTGAAACGGGTCAAACAAGCTAAAAGCTGGCTGATAAGCCATTTGCCAAACATACCCTAAGTGGTTGTGTAGTTCAGCTTTGAATTTAAAGACCAGACGTATATATTCATGTATCAGTTTTAGGAAAAAAAGTATGTGATCGTAGATTGAGTAATGCATGATCTTTTAGTCATATGAGTGATAGTTTTCTCAAAAATAAACTAGGACATTGAATATAATTGAATATAACATTAAAGTAGAAGGTTGCTAAAAAAAGGAGAACAACCAATAAAAAAACAATAAAAACAGAGAATAACAAAAAGAAAAGAAAGCAGAAACGTATGAAGTATGAACAATTCAATACTTCAATAGCAACGGTCAACCCATGAGGAATGGATACCGGAGTAGTGCATGAGACGGAAAAAATGGAAATAACTCAGCCTAATTATTGTCCTCAGAGGTATTACTAATCAGTTCGTATACTGTGGGAGCGGTCCACGGTGAGCATGATATTCCCACAGAAAAAAAGCGTGTTACTGTTCACGCGTGTGAACAGTAACTTCATTTTTGTTTTTTCATTGTCCCAGTAGCTTAATAGTTGTAACTCGCGTATAACAAAATGTAACTCACGCTAATAAGAAATGTAATAACAAACAAGTTGAAATGTAACTTGTCTAATACGAATTATAAGAAATAAAACATTGATTTTAATGAAAACAATGAGTCTAATTGCTCAATTACTTTACTTAAATAGTTTATATGTTTTGTTTTCAATATTAAGGACATAATTTTTTTTTACCTTTTTTTTGCCAAATTAAAAATCATTTTTTTTGGCCAAAAACTCATTTTGTTTTTGCAAAAAAATGTAATTTTTTTATTCAATAGCAGGGGTTAACATAAATGTTGAATATTTTTTTTTAATATTAAGTCCATAAAAATGTTTTTAAAAATATATTTTGTGCCAAAACACATTTTTTTTGGGAAAACAGTTTTTTTGCATAACAATGATTCTTTTGTTGCAATAGTAGGCTTTATGTTGTGATGTAATTCATATTACAGAAAATGTAACCCGCGTTGATTGAAAATCTAACTTTAGTGTATGCAAAATGTAACTTGTTGAGGCAAACTCAAATGTAACTCGCGTATGGAAAGATGTAACTCACGCACAAGAAGATGTAAATCGTGCATAAGAAGATGTAACTCCATATAATATCAAATGTAATTATAGAAATAGTCTATAAACATAACTCACACATACGAAAAATGCATTATTCTCATGTTTTTTCATATTTAAATCGAAATAAACAACCTTAATGACTATAAAACACAAAAAACATATAAAAGAGATAAGAAATATATTATAGAAAAAAGTATATGAATATAAAAAATATTTTACAAAAAAAGTGTATGAATATGAAATACAATATACTTGTGTTACGTTTTTTTATTTTGAGTTTAGGAATATTTTATTATTTTTTATAATATATATAAAAAAAGTATACAAAGTAAGAAATAGTGTATGAATACGAAATACAATATACTTATTTTATGTGGATTAATAAAATTTTGTATTAAATTGGTGAAGAAAAAAATTAATTCAGTTATAATTGAATTAGTTCAAAATAAAGATAAGTAAAAAATCACAAATAATTAGATATAACTCACACATAATTACATGTAACTCGCGAGTAACAGTATGTAACTCGTGTATAAGAAGATGTAACTCACACATAACAAGATGTAACTCACGCATAATAACTTGTAACTGGAGTATAAGATGATGTAACTTCGTATATTATCAAATGTAACTCCAAGCTAGAAGCAAAATAAACAAACTTAGTATCTTAAAAATCTCTAAAAACATATAAAAGTGATAAAAAAATATATTATAGAAAAAGTGTATGCATATAAAAATATATTACAAAAAAATGTATGAATGTAAAAAAGATATTACAAAAAATAGTGTATGAATATGAAATGTAATGTACTTATTTTATTTAGATTATTAAACTTTTTTTATGTATTGATAAAGAATTAAAAAATAGATTCAATTATAATTTAAATTGAAGATAAGGAAAGTAAAACTACAATTAAATTTTTAATATTTTAATTTGATGGAAATGGAGAAGAATTAAAGAAAAGAAAAATAAGGAAAGAATAACAAAAGAAAAAGGAATGAAGAAGTTCCAGAGAAGAATAAAAAGGAACGTAACTTGTAAAAGTGGGATTGGCACACCATGCGGAAGGTGGGCCGATCCCACGGTATAATTTGCGATTACTAATTACAAAAATATCGGGTGTACGTGTATACCCGCGTGTACCTTATAATTTGCCATGTATGAAACCGAGGTAAATAATAATAGTTGAAAGTAGGAAAATTACCCTAAATAGGACTAAAAAAGTTTGTGCATTCCAAAATATGATTATCATGTTTTTATTCCCAAAATAGGACTAATTACTGCCATGTTTTGGCAGTACCAGACTTTAAACATGACAGTATTTTCTAAACTTGGCATTAACTACTCCTATTTTGGGAATAAAACATGGCAGTCCTATTTTGGAATTTTCAATCTTTTTTACTTCTATTTCGGGAATTTTCCCTTGAAAGTAACAAATAATTTTGTTGAATAAAAGAAAAAAAAAATCAACAAGTTTTTTCGTGAAAGCCGATTGGCTATTTAAAGGAAATAGTTAAGAGATATTACCCGAAATAGGACTAAAACAGTTAGAAAATTCTAAAATAGGATTGCCATATTTTTATTCCCAAAATAGGACTAATTACCGTCATGTTTTGGCCGTACCAGACTTCAAACATTTCAGTATTTTGTAAACATGACAGTAATAAGTCCTATTTTGGGAATAAAAAAATGACAGTCCTCTTTTGGAATTTAGAATCTATTTTAATCATATTTCGGGAACTTTCCCAATAGTCAATCAAGTAAATGGAGTTGTAACGCTAAAACATATGGGTAACAAAAAAAAGTAAGGACCTGTCAGACAGCCCAAAGGTCATCCCAACCGTAAACAGCTGAGAACGATCCTCTACAGCTCAACCCAAAGCCGAGAAGAAGCTGTTAAATCACGCTCTAACCTTCCGGCTTTCAGTCATCAACCAGGATTGATTTCCGATCTCCTATAATTCAAGGATTCAGAGGTACGATCCTATAGAACAGATCCTGTTCAAGTAAGGTCGTGACCATGAATCTCATCTTCTTCTTTTTATTTAGTCTTTCTGTTTTGTAAACTACCGGTGTGGGAAACTTTGTAGAGCCCAAATAGTAAAGTATACGTCTCTCCGTAGTCACGCCTTAGTTATACAAATCTAAGCCCACGGGGCTCATAAATTGTTTTTCTGCTCAGGTTTCTTAAAATAATTTAAAATAAGCCATTGGCGATGGTGTGATCGTGAATTAATCGAGAAAATTTGAAGTGTAATCAGGAAATGCTGTGTTCGTTATTATTATGACGGGATGAACTCCTTCTCTAAGATGACATGCTAATCGAGAACCATCTCAAATATAGGTTTCAACATGCGGTAATTATGTACTAAGAAGTAGTATTTTGCATAATGGTCTCCCATTATAATCTGACATTCTACAAAATTAACCATAATAAACTATTTTACATACTTCATACTCCTTATTTCCTTATATTACTGCACCATTTATAGTAAGCATGTGAATTTAGAAAACATGAAGTGTGTATTGAGAGTTATACAGAAGAGATAGAGCAACATGAACCACACTATTCTTCCTTAAAAGGGAAATTGAGAAACGATATCGGGATGGATGAAAGGAAATTGTGAATCACTAAAAGTTAATTATCAACCGGAGGGAGTACTCTTACATTGTTGTTGATATAGTTTTATGGTTGCAGTTATCTAGTCTAGGTTTATATACATGAGAAGCTTTCTAGTAAATGGAAATTTTCTTGGATGTTTACAGCGAAAGTGGCGTGCGCAATGTAACTTGAAATGGGTAAATGGATGCAATACTATGTGGAAAACCTATTGTGAGGTATTTCCTGCTCTAATTAAATACTTGTGTTATCCTGAGGTATTAAACTCTTTGGCAACCTAGTATATTTGTTTAACCTGTAACTTGGGATGGAAAATTCAATCAGAAAGACCTTCAGATTTAAATTCCGTATCTGTTGTAAAAAAAGTATCATCGGATTGTTTTGGATAGATATCGCAAATATGACATGAGTCATGAATTAAGATTGTAAGAAACATGTTTGTTTTATCTTGCATTCATTATTAATATACTATGTAGTCTAATATAAAGCCGATAAAAGCAAGCTTTGAACAACTTATTACATATTTAAATGGGGTTTTGTTGTGTTTGTTTGTGCTTTTGAGAAGCAAATTACCGTAGTGGTTACAGAGATATTGTTTAAAAGTTGGTAGGATTTGCCGATTTGAACATAGAATTGGTTTTAAAAGGGGAATATATCATTCACCTCTCCTGAACTTTAGCATAAAATCAATTGCTTGACTCTTCTAAAAACAGGCAGTCTCCCTCCTAAGATCTCATTGAAAAGTCTGTACCATCCAAAGTCTTGACATAAATTCGACAAAACTCTGAGAAGCTAATCGAAGTGCAAAATGACCCTTAATTACATTTAAGGGTGCATGTGACCAACTGAATAAAGCCAGAATGCCTAATCCTTTTGATTTCTCAACCATGTTCGGACCGCATAATGCAAACTCTTACCACTTGTTGTAGCACCACTGACTGACCAGTAGTCATAAGAATCACCATTCAGTCAGTCAGTCAACACATTTTGGTTATTTTATTCCTAATTCCTTTCAATGCCTTTGGAGTAACAGTTCAATCATGCAGTAACTCTCACCAATTGAAATTTGTCCTTACCATTTCTAATTTTATTTAACCTCTTTGAACTTCCCTTTCCTCACCACTTTAGTGGCTGTCAATTAATCATATGTTACTACTTTGTGTTCCCCTTTTTCCTTCGCTTGTAGTAATGGATCTCTACATACAAGTTTCTTGTGTTAGTAACAGCTTTGGTGAGCATAAATAACTCTCAACCATACAATGTAATTAACAAATTTAATTGATTCGGGATTTGGAGTAACGCCATGTATATATAACCTTTCCGCTTATACGAAGTATCTTCTACTGGACCTTGTCACGCTTTAGCAAATTTGTTGTTCTGGTGAGAGAGTCGAGGCATTTGTATTAGACTGATAACAAGTGAGTATTAGACTTTTGGATTGATAAAATCTGATATATTGGCATCTCTATTTCAAAGCATAGATCATCAACAAGGACACGAACAATTTAATAACATTTTTATTGGCCTTCTGCGAAGAACACTGGGTGATAACAAGTGAGTACAAGAAGCTGCCTGTTCCACTTTTGCAACACTTGAGAAGGTTTCCATCAAGATAACTGTTCACAACTTCATTTCCATTCTTCGCATATGTGTTCTCTGACTATTTTCCCATTATGTTGGAGGCTGTGAAAAAGTTAGTACAATGCTTCGAGGGGTACTACCTCTGTCCCTTAAAACTTTGCAAAAGTTGACCGGCACGGAGAATAATAAAATAAAAAGGAAAGTGGTGGAAGTTTGTGCAGAGGAGAGAGAAATAACAGAAAACACAAAATAATTGATTAAAAAGGAAAGTGGAAAAGTTTTTTGGGACGTCCCAAAAAAGAAAGATGACAATGTTTTAAGGGACGGAGGGAGTAGCACTTAATCTCCCCCTTTAGAAAGTATCAGGTTGTTTTACACTTTTACCCCGGATGTTGGGTAGCTAAATTACTTTCATAGCCGTCTACCGTGCTCTTCACATAGACGCATTTGTCACTTTCGTTTATTTTAAACCCCTTAATTAACATTGTATGGTCGAACTTTTTTGCCACTGTTTAGGAGCTTGTTTCAATCCAAACAATGATTTAACTAATTTACACACTTTCCTTTCTTGGCTAGGAACACGAAAGCCTTTGGGCTGTTCCATATAGATTTCTTCGTCTATATCGCCATTTAGAAAACCGGTTTTTACGTCCATTTGATAAACTTTCAATTTCCGCAGTGCGGCAATTGCTAGTATCATCCTAATGGAATTTATTCTCGTCACAGAAGAATACGTGTCAAAGTAATCATGGCCCTCACGTTGCTTGTATCCTTTGATTACAAGTCTGGCCTTGTACTTATCGATGGAACCGTCATGTTTCATTTTTCGTTTAAAAATTCACTTGGATCCCAAAGGTTTATTTCCCGGAGGAAGGTCAACCAATTCCCATGTGTGATGTTTAAGGATAGAGTCCACCTCGCTTTTGATGGCTTCTTTCCACATAGGACCTTCGGTAGACGTCACGGCTTTCGTATAAGTCTGTGGTTCATTTTTTACCAAACATGTTAAAAAATCCGGTTCATTTTCTACCATACATGTTAGAATATCCGAGTCAAATTCTACCAAGTAGGTGAGAAAATCCGGTCTGAAGGATTTTTCAACTCTAGCACGTTTGCTACGTCTGGGTTCGGGTTATTCTCCGGACCCCTCGCTAGTATTTCCCATAGCTACGTCAAATGTTCGTTTTGACGTGCTTGGTCCTTCGTTGGACTTGCATGGAAATACATCTTCAAAGAATGATGCATTCCTTGATTCAATTATTGTGTTTTTATGTACATCCGTATTATTCGAATCGTACACTAAAAACCGATAAGCACTACTATTTTGTGCATATCCAATAAAAATACAATCCACCGTTTTTGGACCTATTTTTATTTTTTTAGGTGTTGGTACAAGCACCTTAGCAAGACACCCCCACACTTTCAAATATTGATAGGAAGGCCGTCTACCTTTCCACAACTCATAGGGAGTTTTATCATATTTTTTCCGGGATGCCTTATTTAAAAGGTAATTGCTTGACAAGACTGCTTCGCCCCACATATTTTGTGGCAGGCCCAAACTTACAAACATCGCATTCATCATATCTTTCAATGTGCGATTCTTTCGTTCGGCAACACCGTTTGATTGAGGTGAATAGGGTGCAGTACGTTCATGTACTATACCCACGCTCGCGCAAAAGTCACCAATTGGTGCTTCATACTCACCACATTGATCACTTCTAACCGTTTTAATCCGTCGATTAAGTTGGTTTTCCACTTCATTCTTATAAAGAATGAATTTATCGATTGCTTCGTGTTTATTTTTTAACAAATAAACATAGATATAGCGAGTGCTATCATCGATAAAAGTAATAAAATATTTATTACCGCCGCGTGTTTGTATTGATTTAAAATCACAAACGTCACTATGAATTAATTCAAGTGGTTCCGTTTTTCTTTCAACCGATTTGAAAGACATTTTCGTAAGTTTTGCCTCTACACAAACTTCACATTTGTGCTTCACATCAATTGTGAATTTAGAAATGTGTTCCATGTTAATTAATCTACATATAGAATTAAAATTAACATGTCATAGTCTACCATGCCACACATTAGAAGACTCAAGCAAGTAAGCAGAAGGGATTTTATTATTATTCTTAATAATAATAGTCGTTACATTGAGCTTAAACAGCCCATCACATGCATACCCTTTGCCCACATACATTCCTGATTTAGACAAAACTAGTTTGTCCGACTCAAAGACCATGCGGAAGCCATGCTTGTTCAACAACGAGCCGGAGATCAGGTTTTTGCGTATCTCCGGAACGAACAGCACTTGGTTGAGAGTCAGCTCCTTGTCCAAACTCATCTTTAGGACCACTTTGCCCACGCCTTCAACCGCGGAATGAGCAGAATTTCACATCCACACCTTTTCACCGTTTGATGGCTCAAAAGTAGTGAATAACTCCCGGTTTGAGCAAATATGCCGGGTAGCACCGGTGTCCACGAACCACTCCTTGGAATTGGATCCAACGAGGTTGACATCGGTCACCACAGCCGCAAGGATGATGTCTTCATCCTTTTGCCCACCTTGCACCAAGTTGACTTGAGAGTCCCTCTTCTTCTTGGGTGCCTTGCAATCCGCGGACTTGTGTCCGTTTTTATTGCAATTGAAGCATTTTCCGTTGAACTTTGTCTTGGAAACGCCTTCCTTGGAACCGAGCTTGCTCTTCCCATTATTTTTATTTTTGGAGCCTTTAGCATGCTCCACCACGTTGGCCTTGGCGCTGGTAACGATTGGGAGTTTCCCATCGTTCTTCCGGTTATCCTCTTCAATCCGCAGATGGAGGATCAATTGCTCCAAGTTCATTTCCTTTCGCTTATGCTTAAGGTAGTTCTTGAAATCCTTCCAAGCCGGCGGCAATAAATGGATAATTGGCGCCTCTTGGAAAGACTCACTAACTGTCATTCCTTCATCTCGAATTTCGTTGAAGATCATTTGCATTTCCTCAACTTGACTCAAGACCGTCTTTGAATCCACCATTTTAAAATCAAGGAATCAACCAACAACAAATTTCTTTGCGCCGGCATCCTCGCTTTTATATTTGTGGTCCAAAGCATTCCATAGCTCCTTAGCTGTAGCTAGTTTGATATACACGTCGTACAAAGCATCATGCAGCCTGTTCAACACGTAGTTTCGGCAAAGAAAGTCCGAGTGCTTCCATGCCTCAACCACATTGAGAGATTGCACATCTACCTCACCCCCGGTTACTACCGGCGCATCCTCGGTCAAGAACCTAGCAAGACCGAGAGTAGTGAGGTAAAATAGCATCTTTTGTTGCCACCTCTTGAAGTTTAACCCATTAAATTTTTCGGGTTTCTCCACAGAGTTGCTTGGCACGGTAACCATAGGGATTGCCCCTTGGTTGCCCAAAGTAGATGCATCGCGTTGTGTGTTAAATGTAGTGTTAATGGACCTGAGAGTTGGACATCAATGATCAGTCCGTTGGGCATTGTATCGTCCATAAACTGTCCATTTAACGCGGCATTAAAAGATAAGAATGTTGGGCATTTATTACTGTAACGGTCCAGAATAGCTCGAGCGTCTATGTTGCGAACAGAAGACCTCGAGCGTTACGGGAAGAAACCAAAACTAAATCGTACCTTTGAATGATAGATTTTCGAACGACATTCGTGTCCGCGGGTCGCCCGCGCACACGAGTCACGGTTTTTCTTCTCCGTTTCGGGATTTGATCGGCACCCCCCCTACGCGTAAGAGATAGCCTTTACCTTTAGGAATCTTAACTCCTTGAAAGACGCTTCCCTTTATAAGGGGGTGAAAATCCCTTGAGTTTTCCGGTGTGGTATAAAACACACTAGAAACCCATCATTTTCCCAGTTTTACCATTTCAACGAGTGAACTTCGAGAATCAATTTCTCATTCACCCGTTATCCGTTTTGAGCGTACCATATATCGAATTGTAGCCCTTAACAAGGACAATCCAAAACCACTTTGAGCCGACCCAAATCAGAAGTGGACCCCACTCAAATAATTGCCCCAAAACGACCATTTAATGCAATTTTTAACATATTTTTCCAACAGCCTAGGCACATTCATTGCAAGAATTCGAGTTTGACGTTTTTTTGGCAAGAGTCACTAGAATGTTTGCAAAACTGACAATGATCTGGACCATTTCTCTGCTTTAAAGGTGAAACTGAACCCTGTTAATGTTTTTTCCGTTGTTATGTATTATTCGTTTTCTATTACTTCTCAACATAGGAAAATTTTATATAGGCATTGCAATTGTAAGATTTGGACTTTCAGTAACCCGAGATTTGCCCATCGCCCCATTGTGAGAAGGCAATCAAGAGCACACTCTTAGATGAAGAAATGCAGGATGCTTGAGAGATGTTACATGACAAATGCAGGTGTATATATATGTTATGCCTTTGATCTCTTGAGGCGCCTCTTGTTATAATATTTCTGTTTAAAAATAGAGTGGTGGGCATTAACAATTGTTATACCATGTTATAATTCTTGCGTGGTATCAATAAGAAATTATCTTCCGTTTGTTTACTATTACTAGTCCTACATGAACACTTCTCTTTTATGCCTATTGATTTTGTTTTTCTGAACAGGATAAACTAATTCAAAAGAAGCCCAATCAAAAAGGTCCAAATGTGAGTAGTCTACTGGCTGGATGATTCGGATTTGCCTAATCTGAGTATAGTTTCGTGAGATAACCAAAGTCTCCAACACCAAATGTTTCTCCAAGTCTTACCTAGCAGCAGAAATCTTTTTTGCATATCTTTGACCGTTCACTGCTTTTCAGGCAGTAGAGAAGATTTCGGCAGGACATATATGGGAAGTGACGGCACTAGAAGAAGTACGTTCCAAGCATAGTATAGAAATTATGCAACTAAATTGTTCGGTAAGTTATCTTCTTCAAGCAAGAAGTTATATATTTTTCCTTTCTAATGATTTGATCTTCATGTCAGAATCACTAACAGCCTATTCAGCAGTACAAACATGAGCATGAATGCAATTAGATAATTAGTCAAATACTAAATTTCGATAGAGAGCTTGACTGATGCGAGAAGCTATAATAAAAATGTCCGGGCAAAGGTGTTCAAAAAGGGAGATTGGGTCTTGAGGAGAGCGTTTGGCAATGAAGCAGTCGGGAAATTTAGTCCTAATTGGGAAGGACCTTACAAAATCATTGACGTCATTGGTCAGGGAGCATACCACTTGGAATCAATTGATGGTAAACGAGTCCCTCGAAGTTGGAATGCGGTACATTTAAAACGTTTTCATTTTTAACAAGAGTTCTTTTTCTTTTCTACATTTTTATCCCTATTACTAAATGAAATAGCTAACTTGGTCGTCGGAGGGCCGTTGGCTTAAGGCCAACGACCAACCCTGACAATAATTGTAAATACAGGAAAGCAAACGAGAATGTTCAATTCACAGGTAATTAGTTACAGTTCACGTAATCTTGAATATGGTGAATACAATTCATCGTTCACTAACTTGACCGTCGGAGGGCCGTTGGCTCCAAGTCAACGGCCGATCTCAACGGTGCGGTATCATCGCAGGACTATGACAGGTTAAAATACCAGGTGACCGAATACCAGAACAACAGATAGAACATCAGATCTGCTTATGACAAAACATCAGCATACAGGGGACATGGGACTCATTATGAAAAAATCATAAATGAAGTTTCTTGAAACCAAATACGTTTTGGCCAAAACACACACATGTTTATGACACAGCATGACATGTTGCACACATAAACAGCGGGCATGCATACACAACAGAATACACATGAACAAAAGTATGATCCAAGCAATAGCAAAAACAGTGACAGACTCACACAGTGGTGTGGAAAGGGCTAGGCTGAACCGCCAAGCGTGAAGACCATGAGTAGCGCAATAAGGCGTTAAGTCCCGGATAAACCACCGGGAACCCTTAACGCAGGTCGGAAAGTGTCAGAGTAATTCAAAAGCACGGAATGTTTGTAATCCAACAGACTTACAAAAAAAGGAAGCATGATCATCTGACCGGTAAACACTAAAGATCAATCTCATCGTCGGAATGACCCACCTCGAAGCCGTCTTCTCCTACAGGAGGATCCATCTCTTCCCTCAGTTTATGTCATGTAGCTACATCCCGTTCCGCTGACCGGTGTGTCATTTCTCCTTTAATAAAAGATGTCATCAACTCACCCCTGGTCTTCCAGACATAATAGCAAGCAGTCAAAAAAGGGAACAGAGGAGGCCAATTGAAATTGAGCCATTTCGTCTTTCATGGTCAGAGCGTCCTTCAATTCACAGAATTCCGTGGAAAGTGATAAGTGCATAGCTTGTGGTGGCTTCGCCCAGGTATCAACCCCATGCTCCGCATGGGGGGCATTAGGAGTGGTAGCAGTATCAGGCGTTGGGTACTTGGGAACCTTTGGAGGATTTGCTGACAATTTAGAGGGCATCCTTTTCCTCCTCGATGCCATAGCCAACAACTCGTGGTCAGAAGGAACGGAACGAGAAGTGCTTGATGAAGTAGCTACACAAATTAAGAGGAATAGAAGTTAGGGGTAATCGATCCAGCACTAATAAAGAAGAGCATAAACCTCAGATAATACCTGCAATAGGAGTAGAATCCTTGAATGGGGGCACGGGAATATTCTTAACAGTTGGAAAAACAACTTGTAAAGGGACGAAAGCGCTCATACCCTCGTCATCATCTTTGGAAGCTTCGGATCCTTGACCTGAATCTTCTACGGAAACGACATGTGAATTCTGATTCAAATCGTGTGCGGTAGGGGTGTGCCTGCGAGACCGCCTTAACCCCACATAATCAGACTCAACAGGAAGAGGTGACGTACCTTGAAAGTCTGACACCAGGTTCACATAAGTTCGATCCTCGATAGGGAACGAAAGAATCCTGGCATTTCTCTCTTCAGAATGCAGACCGGGAACCAGTGGAATAGTCTTCCTCTCTGCACGTCACAGAGAAACAATGCCAAATACATCAAGTTTTATACATATATCCGAGAACGCAGAAAATATTCTGAAATTACCCATTTCCATTACCTACACCCGAGGTTACAAATCAGATAACAAAAATAGAAGACGGAAATCAACCGAGCAAGTCAAGAAACACGATTCGAAAGAGAAACTAACCTTTGTGTAGATTCTCTTCCAGGAATGATCCGTCAGTACCTAACGACTCTTTGTTTACAAAAAAGTACAAATTCATCCATCCCCGGTCATTAGCTTTGTCCACCTTATGAATGAGGGCCTCTTTTCCTTCCTTCACTGCTAAAGTAAAGCGACCGGCTCCTGAAGATCTGAGGTCGTAGGTGAAACCCAAGTCTTCAAAATCCAGGGCCAAACTATGTTTCTCACTCAAGACCTCTAAAGCTCTGAGTACCCTCCATACTTGGGGCATGATTTGGGAAGGCGATACGACGAAAGCAAGAAAGTCTTGGACTAAACGTGAGAATGGGAATTTCATACCTATCTTGAAAGGGTACATCAAGAAGTTTACCCAACCATCACAGAACCAATCTATCCTCTCGTTCGCTGCTGGAAAACGAATAATCGCATCATGGGGAAAGCCGATAGATGACCTGATAAAGTCGACATGATGTTCTGAAAGTTTCGCTTGCTTTGAGTTCTTCGGATCTAAAATGTGTTGCGGAATGAAGGGTTGTGAAGCCATGAAGAACCAAAGCGCTGGTCGGGATTTGCAAGAAATCAAAAGGAGAAGAGAGGAAGTTTTTCTTGCTGAACTAATTCACTAAGGGAAGAAGAGATTAGTGATTGATTGATACTGAACGACTGACGGCCTTACACATTCCAAGGCGATGTCATGATGAAAAATTCAAAGAATCGGTTGGCCCTTTAATTTTTCGAAATTGGCGCCCTCCTCTTCTTTGAATTGGGGGCAATTGTTGGGCCACGGAAATATAAATAGATCGGCCCATTCTTAAAAGACGAAGTCCAATTGAATAAAGGTCAAACGAATCGAATAAGAATAGACTGGGTAGGAGCATCCAACTGAATGACGGAGCCTAGAAATCAGGAGACACTTCCGGCGGACGGTTGAACCACCTAAGTAGAATAGTATTGTTGTATAAATATAGGAGAACTTACAATAGGGAGGCACGATCAATCCTGTTTGATTATCTATGCACTTGTAATACCATTCTTTTATTCATACACTCAGATTAATACATTTCATTCATTAATCTTCAGTTTTTACATTTTGTTTCTTGTACGATCCCTACATACATATAATTTTAGATTAGTTTAATTCTTGCTTAAACATGTACAATAATGGAGTGTGAAGAGCCTGCACAGGTAGCTCAGTTGGTTAAGTCGCGGGAATTTGGATCAAGGAACCCTAGTTCGAGTCCCCGCAGCGACCTCGTCACAGCCTCTAAAATGGGTTGGACCTCTGGCGCGTAGGAGGCATATGGGCCTACCGCTGCTCCTTCGACTGAGTCACCGTGATTTACATCCTCTCACATGCTCTGTCGGGTCGGGGTGTGGGGGCTCCGGGGTGGGAGATTCCACCTTTTGGATCAATAATGGAGGTTACAAAAGGCTTTTTTCTTTTAGAGAATGGATGTATGTCGGCATTATAACGAGGGAGAGGAAAAGTAAAAGTTGAAGACCTTTCAGGTGAGTAGAATCCAACCACCACTGTTTTTTTAACACGAAATCGCCAAGAAAGAAAACCTCACTGCCGAATAGCTTCCGCACAATCGAGAACCAGCCCCCACCCTCTCATTTCTGCCCCTCAGCACAAGAAAACTCCTCTACACATCCAGAAGCTCCTTATCAAACCACAAGCCCCGTCTTTTTTCCTGGCATTCGCGGAAAGGTAGAAGGAGACTTGAAGAAGAAGACGAAGACGAAGAAAGGTTAGAGAGAGATGCTGCATATGTTCTTCGGCGTGGCGTTTTCAGCTGTGCCTTTAACGCTGTACATCCCCCCAGTCAGAAGCTTGAATCTCTTTGTCGAGGTCATGGAGGACCTGTGCAGGGAATCCAGAACCTACACTAGGAGAATGTTTCCTCGTTTCCAGCGTGCCTGGTCTAGGCTCTTCAATTTATTGCTTCGCAATTCTTCTACTTCTCGGACTTGAATGTCCTCTAGGTTAAATTTACCTTTCCTTTTTCCTTTTTGTGCCTATTATCTAATACGTTCATCTCTGCACGGACTGTCCTGTCCTGTCCTCGGTTCACTTTCCTTTTGTTTTTTTTCGTGGGAGTTTTTTATTCCTGAAACAAAAAGTATCATACTCGTGTTGTACATGATGAAGAGAATCATCAATATAAATGCGTTGTGAATTGTATCCTTTCATTACAGTACATGTTTTGGCAGTACTTTTGTCTCCGTTTTTTCATGAATTCAGAGCAATCGTGATTTGGAGGAGTTACTTTTCCATCTGCGGGCAATTCAAAGTTAATTGGTATTGACTAATTTCAGTTAAAAAGTTAATTTGATCGAATGTTAAACTCATTAAAAAAGATTCAAATGCAATCTTTTGAAGAGAGGAAATTCCGAAAGTAGCTTTAGAACTTGGTAGTTGGTACTTCTCCAAAGTCACCAGAGGACAATCAGCTGGAAATTTCATAATGTCACTTATGTAATTCACATTACATTGCATATAAAAATTTTAATGTTGAAATTTGGTAGGAACGATATCCAAAATTATTTGTTTACATCACGTTCTTTCAAAAACTCGAAACTTTTAAATTTTAAAATGATAATAATAAAAACATAAAAATATAATATCCTCATTCTTATTCAAGTAAACACAATTGCAACTCTATGAAAACTCAAAGTCACATTAATCTTCGTGTCTACTCAAAGTCTTCTTAGGCTTTGACATGGGTTTTAAGAGAAAAATAGTAGGGATAGTAAAAGGTATAGTGGGTAAATGAAAAAGTAGGAAAAGAGAAAGAGGTAATGGTAATAAAAGTAGGGGTATAAAGGTATTTTGATTGAAAAAACTTACCAAAAAAGGAAAGAGTGACAAATAATTAAAAACGTCCCAAAAAAGAATGTGAGACAGTTAATAAAGAACAGATGGAGTATTTTTTAGACTTGTATAAATATTTTGTATAATTAAATCTCTTTCTATATTTATTACGTAGTATATTTAATAAATGTTACTCCCCTTATCATTACGGAGTACTTTGGAAAAACAGGATAAGAAGCTGATTTTCCCCTTTTCAAAAAGAGGTTATGAAGAGCAACAGAAAAGCTAGAAATGAGAAGAATACACCATGTCACCATGAGAATTATTTTAGAGAACATACATATTAGAAGATCAAATTGAGAAACATCAAAAATGTAAGATTTACCCAATAAAGAACCCTTCAAAAAAAATATTATGTTCATTGATGTGATCTAATTCATGTTTTAGGCTTCGGATTGAAAACTCATACATTTGGTCTGGCCAAATCTACAGTTCTTTACTGTATAAATGCTCAAATTCAAAAGAAATAAGTTTCTGGAGGGGATGCTATTGTCTAGCACTCTAGCTTTTGGAGACTTGTACGTTGTACTTCTCATACACAAGGAAATTTCTGGAGATGAACAATTTACTCATTTCTTCACATGTAAAATGCTATTCAAATGGCAGAGAGACATTTGAATGAGCAGTTAAAAACTAGCCAGACAATGCAATTCTGCTATGATGTCATTTGAGTCTTGGGAAAAAGAAAGAGATCTTGAATAAATACTTCAACACTGCTCTACAAGATTTTCATTCCCAGGCCACATGTTTTAAAATGCGTCTACTTTCAAGGAAAAATCGCTACTACTACAAACTAACTACTCCGCACTATGTAAGCAGAAAGAGCAAAAAATACCAATCCAACCTTTAAAAAGGAGACATAAAACTATTGCAACAACAAACACTAGTATTAATGCTCTACTTTGGCTGTCCTAATAGTACTTCCATGCCTTGTTTCATTTCATCAATGGATACTCCTCCTTTTAGCATGTCTGGCAATCAATATTTGATTTAAGTTAGAATTACTTGAAATTATCCCTAATAGTATGTCTTACATCAGGTAATTGCTTGCCTTTTCCTATAATGCACTGGGTCACTTTGCATTTTCATCACTCTGATTTTGAATTTTCTCTGCTTCAACGGTGGGTTCGGTCATCAATAGAAACCTCAGCATTGCAAACTGGGCATGTCTGACACATCAAAGAGACATTAGCTGTGAGGGAAGTGTTTGGTACAAATTATCTAAGATTCCCTTCATAATATTAAGAAGCTAATGTCAGATTACCTCGTTTGGTTGGAGCAGTGAGACTACAAAAGAAATTAATACGGGGTATGAGATTATACCGTTTGGTTCAAGTTCTAAGATTTCACTTCAATAATCTTAGATTACCACCACATAAGAAAATGCTGATTAATATTACCTTGGGTTTCATAGGTAACATGAGATTACCTCGGTAATGTTTCAATTCCCTTAAATTATATATTCTTTCACTTTTTCTACATTTTCTATATTTAACAGATTAATATTACATTTTAATTATCTCAACCAAACACACCAAGTAATCTTACATTCCTATAATCTCAAATACCTAGGTGATTCCTACATTCTCGTGTCTCAAATTACGTTCCCTAATGTAATCACTAATCATATTACCTACGACAATCTTACATTCCGTCAACCAAACGCCTCATGAGGCATCAATATTACATTTTCTTATTATGGTGAGAGACTAGGCACTTGGCTTACCTTGTTAATGCCCAGCCACTTGGAGACACAATCAGAATGGTACACATGTTTGCATGGCAAGTTCATTTGGCGGTCTCCTCGTTTATACTTCATTTGACAGATGACACATCTGGTTTCAGGGAGCAATGAAAACCAATATAAGAACAACTTCTCTTACTACAATCCTTTTTCTGAAACTCAGCAATGGCTGGTTTAACCTTTTGAATATAAACAAAATGATTGTACCTCTCCCCACATCTTTTTTTGGAGAAAATCCAACTGCACTTGTATTTAGAGGTTGGAAGGAGATCTATCAGTTCTTTGGGAAGACCGCGACTTTGTGTTCCAACTGTCTCGCCTAAATCCAGCAGCTCCTGCACAGATGGAAGAATTCCACTACTTATGACAGCAACTAATTTGCAGAAACCAAACAATCTCATACATCCAACGCTAGAATAGTAAGAGCTACATGTCAGAGCCTTAATTCCAAATCACACAAGCTCATCTCTGACATTCCGAAAATCTGTTCAAAATTGGGAGCACATATAGACAAAAGGTTTGATAGTTTCAAATGTATTTAACTATACGTTCAAAATTGGGAGCACATATAGGCAAAAGGTTTGATAGTTTCAAAAGAAAAAGGTCAGATAGGGCCTCGAACTTACAAAAAAATGTCAAATAAGGTCTTATATAGGAGGTTCTATTCGGCCGACGCCATTTGGGGCGGTTCCCGGTGGAATTTTTCGATGAAATTTTGTGAGAATCTTATTCATTAAGTCTAGTTTACTCATACCCAATTGCAGCTAAAACTTCAATCGGGAAGGCATTCAAATAAATTCTTGAAGATAACTGCGCTTTTAACTGCGCACTTATCTTCAAGAATTTATTTGAATGCCTTCCCGATTGAAGTTTTAGCTGAAAATTGGTACGAGTCAACTAGACTTAATAGATAAGATGCTTAAAAAGTTTCATTGAAAATTTCCACCGGGAACTGCCCCAAATGGCGTCAGACTGACAGAACCTCCTATATAAGGCCTTATTTGACATTTTTTTGTAAGTTTGAGGTCCTATCTGACCCTTTCTGATAGTTTCAAATGTATTTAACCAGACTAATTTCGGAAGATCATAACTTTTGACTAAGGGTGAATTATGGTGCCCACAACATATCACATCGAATCTTTTTCTTCCCACTACATGGATGAAATTATTTCAAGGTGGTCACAGTTGACCACCCCAACCTCCCCCCACCCCCACCTCTTCCGACTCTGCATCCAGCATTAGCACAGAAATGCCATCATAAAAGTTTAAAATAAAAAACGAAGTCTAGCACGTTCCAATCATATCCATACAAACAGTAGACAAAAATGAGTCCAGTTATTGGACTAAATATTATATCAAGCATTCTATTCCCAATGCACTATTGTGAAAGCATCACATTGTTGCAGCAAGTGAACAGGTGAAAAAGAGAGGTTTCGCAAAGAAAACAAAAATTAAGAATGTGCTCTGCAGCCTCTGCTCTCATTTTCCCACTGAGATGGTTTATACAAATACTTTGAGATGTGTATATACCATACATGGTTTACACAAGTACTTTAGGTATATGTGTGTGTGTGTGTGTAAACTAGTAATTGGTTTGTACAAGTTGGTTTATTAACCAAAAAACGATTTGAACAAGTACAATTCTTCCCACAAGTAGTTACAAACTACATGAAAAATTAGGATGCTCAGATTAGTAAGATAAAGAACAACTATGAATACGGAGTGCTCTTCCAAATACTGATATTCCAATTATTCAAAGCTTCATTCTGTAAATTAGATGAATCCCGCATCCTCATGAATAACAAGGATGCACCCCATGTGAAATAAAACAGTGGAACAGGACCAAGGAGTTGATTAAGCAACTTCAAAGAGGTTAATAAGAGAAAATCGATGAGTTGAAATAATATTCACATGGTGTCGAAGGCCATATTTGCATGCATTACAATGACGAATGTTAGATCTTAGCTCATCATCATTACTTTAATCCCAACTATGTGGGAACAGTGGCATGCATTTAAAGTGCTAACTCAAGTTAAACAACTAATTGACACTATATATAAAATATAGTGTCAATTAGTTCTTAAATATTAATTCACACTTTTCACACAAAAGAGCATAGTGACAGTTTTCCGTTGGATGTCCTTCTAGGATAGTGAAAAGAAATACAATAAATGTCATCATCATGAAACCGACCTCAAAATAGTTAGCCTTAAGGTGCTGAACTGCCAAAGTGGATGATGAGTCGTATACCATTACAAATTTGATATTACAAATAATCATGAAAAAAAATGTCACAACTACTAACCTATTAGTAGTAATTCATAATATGTATGCTCTCTCAAAAAAATCAAATTCATCATGTGTAAGCTCTCTAGACTAAATACAAGAACATGAACTGTGGGTGGTAGGAGTATTTGATTCCGCTCTGGGAGATTGAGCACTATTGCTCCCATTAATGGCTGATAACCTCTCCCCAAAGAAACAGAAATCTAGGATGTATATAGAAACAGTATGGATAACAGACCTCATATGTCATGTTGTCAGGATCAATATCATCTTCCAAAATGACCTGCAATGTCACGCACATGGAAAAGGAATGTTATAATCCTTATGCCAAATATCAGCAAATAAAATTCTAATTTACTGAATGAGGTGGAATGACAACGCAAACAGTTCTAGTTAATAAAATATTACTTCCTCCGTCTCACCAAAAAATCGTGTTCAGAATATGGAGAACAATACTACAAACATGACTATTTTCAGGACTATCGTAGTATGTAAAATAATAATAATAATAATAATAATAATAATGCCGTATAAGAAAATACACATGGAATGGGCACATAATCATCTATTTCTTCAGTCAAAAGGTGTTGACACATTAATTGCTATTCAACTCCTGCAAGTAAAGTCCTCTCTGATTCCACATTTATATTCCCCATTGTAGTATAAATTAATACTTCATGTATACTTTCTTTTAATTATATTATTAGTATTAACATTGACTAAATAATACTAATGCCTTCTTTGCACCTTCTAATATCCATTCAATTTGACTCTGCATTCCAGTGTTGATCATCATTGTCTACAATCAGTCACTTTGACCAGTGTTACGTGTCCAAGACAAGCAAGATAATATATATTCAAGATTAATCCAGATATACCCAATATGAACTGGTGGCCCTATGCAGAACTTCATAAGAATTTAAATTAGCCCGACAATTGTCGAAGATCATCACCCAAAGGTCCTAAGAGCTGACGGCCTTTTGGTACAGACGTACAGTCTTTCTTTTGCTTCTGAATTTAAATTCTTTCAAACAAAAACAGAGAGGTTTTAAGAAGTCTCATTTTTATTTTCAAAAATACTTTCAAAGCATTGGTTTCTCCTTTCAAACAAAACGGATTGTTGATTCATTTCTTAATTTCCCCCCCTGTTCCAATCAAAACATCATGCCTACTCGCCTCCTTAACCTCACCCTGGAAATCATATGTTCCGGATCTGTTATTTTCTTAGATTTATTATTTTTAAATAAAAGTCACACCAGAAGTACTGTTTTTGACTAACTAGTCATCGCATCTATTTCATCCCACACTGGATGAACCACAATACCAAACAGTTTCATTCAATCCAACTTATGACCATTTCTACATCCACCATGTTCTCAAGCTGCCAACCCATCTACAGTTTACCTGATCTACCCCGGGACTTGAGTAAAGAGTTATTATATGACTGATAGTAAGGGATATATCATGACTAAAAATTGCTCAAAGATGTCAGATGAACTAAAATGCATCCGTCCCAAAAACAAGAGTCATGTTTTTTTTAACTGATAGTAATATTACAGATTTACAGACAAGACTCTTTTTTTGGGACAGGGGAGTTACTTCTAGGCATCATACCTGATCATTAGAGCCATCTTGCTGTGTTGGACTGCCTACTGAGACAGAAAATAGAACATTAAAAGAAATCAAACATTGCCTAGAAAACTACAAATGCTCAAGTGTACAAGAAGTTCAGTGACTAGTAAACATAGAAAGCTCCATTGATCATCCCCACCAATAACACCATAATCCAAACTAGATCAACTGGATGGCGTGAAACTTATATTCAGAATTGATTGTCAAATTCCTTAACACTATGAAATCAACATTATATGATCAAAAATATCATGAATGGTATAAATGATCAAAAACAGCCTAAGCTGCTGGGGCAACAAATTAGCACATTTGGTTTGTCTAAAAGTGCTTATAATAAGCCTTAAAAGATTGCCAAATGACATCAAACACCCCCCTCTACATCTGGCTGATTCGGTTGATTTGCCTTTTAGCAAAAATATATGACATTTTGCTACTTTTTTGGCTGATTTTTTCACAGTGAAATGACAATTATATCCTCCTTTCCTTGGTTTACCCCATATAAATATCAGTAAATACCTTTTTGGTATTTACACATCCAATAAATTATTTTAACTGAAAAAATCACCAAAGTCTCCTAATCCAGTCAATTCAACCATTTCAGCTATATCACCTAACGGGCAATGAAATCCCTCACAGATAAAGAGCAATATCAATTAATTGAAACCTTTTCACGGTTTTGATACTAGCATCAATTTCTGATAACAAATTAAACTCACTATCTTCGGGGTTAGCATCTAAACTTGGGATTGCATTGTCATCTGATGTTGACTCTACTATGTCCACTAATAAAGGTTCTTGGGCATTCGTCATGACATGGTAGTTCAAATTCTGCTGCTCAGTGATATCCATCGTTGATAAATGGTTACTACTCTCGTAAGGGTTGTAATAGGAACTTTCCATTCCAGAAAATCCAAATTTGTACCAATTCATATTCATGGTCCAGTAAGTAGTTTCCTGTTCACCAAAGATAGGGTAAGATTTCACACCAATATTCAGAAAAGATGAAAATTGCTAAATCGTTTGCATATATAGCCCTAAGATTTGAAGTTTTTTCTCAAACACGTGAAATTGCCTTTTCTTCATTTTCAACAGACAATCCATTTTGACTCTAAACAGCTCTATTGTGTAACAAGAACATTGTTGTTGAAGGATTAACCTCATTATGAACTTGCTGAGAATTTGGGTAATGCAAATAGGCCTGAGAACCATCAAAGTAGTATGTGGAATTCTCTGGAACACAATAAGGAAAACTTGTATTTATGTAATGCATATCCATGTGTTGATCGCTGTTCATCTCATAAAAGCCTCTTCCCTCTCTCCCCCCTTTTAGCCTGAGGAATTATGAAAGAGCGAAAATTAATCACATTTCAGCACTGCGTTTACAAATAACAAAGAAGAATGCACGGAAGTTCATTATAATTTCTCTAGAGAGAAAGAAAGGGATAACACCATGTTCTTAACCAGATTCAACCACAGAACCTGTTCTGAATTTGACCTGTAGGAGAAAGCCAGTTGCAATGTGCAGGAAGATAACAAATTTAACAAATTTTCAGCTACCACTTACTATTACCACACTAATATCCTAAGCGCAAACCACCATACACATCAGGAGTACAACCATTTCAAAGAAAAACGTGGCATTTTCTTCAATGAAGTACAAACACATGAACGTAAGCTAAAAACTTAAGGTTAGCCATTGCCATTAAATCCCCTAATTTTCTTGATTCCGCAGAAAACAGGGTAGAAAAAGGCACGAGAAATGAAAAAACTCCAAAAGCAAACAAATGTGAAATGCATACATGTTAACCACACCCAGACACAAAACACCAAAACAAGCACATACAGTGCAAAATAAGTTGAAGGGTGGGGCGTGGGGGAGAAAAGGGCAAGCTAACCAGCTGAGGGAGAAGCGGCCAAACCGGAGAGGACAGGAACGGAGAAGTGCAGCTTTACTTATTGGGTGTCTTTTTCCTCTTTGAATCTTTGAAGAAGATATTGGAGTGTGTGTGAACAGACAATTCTTCTTGTCTGTCTGTGTGTCCCTCTTGCTCAGCTTCAGGCGCTTATACCGGACTTGAGAGACACGCCATCTTGTCTTCGCACACTTCACAGATTTAATTAGACAGATATGCTTTTTGAACCCCACCCACATATGACATCAATGCTCCATGTATGCTCAATTTTCTAGCTTGGATCTTTAATTTGAATGTAGTATTTATCAAATAAGTCCCCGAACTTACATAAAAAGTGTAAATAAGCTCTTTTATAGGAGGCTCTGTCCAACCATCACCATTTGGGGCGGTTCCTTCTCGATTGAAGTTTTAGCTGAAATTTGGTATGAGTAAACTAGACTTATGAATAAGTTCAAGAGCTTATTTGATAGTTCTCCCTTAATTTTATAAATCTCAGTTTTTTAATAAATCTCGGTTTGAATTTCTATTTCATCAATTGCATTCACCTCACTCAACTTGGTTAATTTTAGTGATTTGATTATTTAAAAGCTTTATTACTTTCCATTAAAATTAAGTAATGTGTGGTTATGTTATATATACATAATATTCTTTTCACTTATCACATTATTTATATTTCTTGAATCCTCTATTCAAATGTGGCAATGCCCAACCAGATGGGGGAGTGTTTAAACTTTTATTGGCGGCAACGCTAGAATTTTTTTTGATTGTGTGAGTGAGATGTAAATTCAAAGTTTTTTCATAACCGGTTAAGCAAAGAAGAATCATTATTAAGATGCGAGGGATGATAGCCCAGAATGGCACATGGATTAGTGACAATGGAAAATTAAAGGAAATGATCAATCAGATGATATTACTCTAATTCATTCAAATCTACAGGAAGACCAATTTTGAGGAGAGAAGTTTCCGTGAAGTTACTACCGCACAAAACATATCATTGCTACGTCTGATTAGTTCGGAGGAAGTACGGGTGGCACTCTTTAACATGTATCATGAAAAGACACAGGGACCAAATGGTACAAATCATGCATTTTTTCAATCTTTTTTAAATATAGTAGGTCCTCATGTAGTAGATCTATGTTGTGGTATGTTTGAGTCTGAGCCATATTTCAAGAGAGTTAAATGTGACCAATTGCTTTGTATAATGTGATTTTTAATATTTTTTCAAACTCCTTGTGAATCGGATGAAAGGTATCTTAAATAACCTAATTGGGGGAGAGTTTGGGTGTGCTGATAAGAATGCAAAGGCTGCTAGGTCATCGCCCAGAAGTGATGCGCCACTCCAATGTCTGGGGATGGTGTCAAATATGCAAGGGCATGGTGGGGGTCAATGTGGTGTGAAGAAGAGAAGGCAGTGTGCTAGATTGCATTTTAGGACGTGGAATGTTGGCTCCCTTACCAGAAGATCATTTGAGATAGCTAAGGTTATGAAGATGAGGAATATCAGCATAATGTGCATGCAAGAAACTAAGTGGATTGGAGAAAAGGCACGTGAGATTAATCCTGAAGGTTTTAAGTTGTGGTATTCGGGGGGAGAGAGGAACAGAAATGGAGTAGGCATTATGGTGGCTCATGATTATGTTGAGGGTGTGGTGGAAGTCTTTAGGAAGAATGACCGCATCATGAGCATTAAATTGATAATATGAGATGAGATTGTGTCCGTGGCAAGTGCCTATGCACCACAAGTGGGATTGAATGCATCTATCAGTGAACAATTTTGGAAGGATCTTGAGCAAGTGGTGTGATGAGTGCCCAGGGGAGAGAAGCTGGTCATAGGAGGCGACCTCAACGGGTATGTGGGTCCAATTCATGATGGTTTTGAGAGTAGTATCCATGATGGGCATGGTTTTGGCACTAGAAATGAAGCGGGGAAGAACATTCTGGATTTTGCCTTGACATATGAGTTTGGTTGTGATGAACACGTGGTTCAAGAAAAGAGACCCTCACCTTGTGGCCTATAGAAGTGGAGCTAATAGTACCCAAATTGACTGCTTTTTGTACGTACGATTTGGAGAATTAGTCACACTGATTATAAGGTTATCTCGTGTGAGAGTGTTGTCACTCAGCATAGGATGCTTATGCTTGATTTTCAAGGTAAAAAGAGAAGGCGGGTTAAGGTACAAGGGGAGGCAAAGATAAAGTGGTGGAGACTCGAGAGGAATCTCCAACAAAGTTTTGCACACGAAATGTTGGAGGAAGATGTATGGTCTATTGATAATGACACACATGTGGATGATGTGTGGTTATCAATGGAGTTCACCATTAACAAAGTGGCGAAGGAGATACTCGGAGAATCTAAAAGGTGTCTACCACCAAAAAAGACACATCTTGGTGGAATGATGAGGTGAAACAAACAATAAGGAACAAAAGGGATTGCTATAAGAAATTGGGCAAAAGTTGGAGTGACGAGAACATAGAGGAGTACAAAGAGGCTAGAAGAAGAGCAAAGAAAGTTGTAAACGAAGCAAGAGGAAAAGTGAACAAGGAATTGTATGTAAAATTGGACTCTAAGGAAGGAGAAAAAGATATCGAAAAAGTTAAGTGTGTGAAAGATGTCGATCAAAGGGTACTAATGGAGGATGAGGAAATAAAAGAGAGGTGGAGGTCATACTTTGATACCTTGTTCAACGAGAATAAAGTGCAAAGTATTGATGATCTTACTATACCAGAGTGTGTGGTAAATCAGGATTTTGGAGAAGGATCCAAACAACAGAATATAAAGAGGCTATAAGAAAGAAGTGGGTCCAGATGGCATACCGGTCGAGCCTTGGAGAAGTTTGGGAGAGAAAGGCATTGAGTGGATAACACATTTCTTCAACATGATTTGGAGAAATAACAAAATGCCAGTAAGTTGGTGGAAGAGTACTCTCATTTCCCCTATTTAAAAATAACGGTGATGTACAAGACCGTGCCAACTATCGAGGGATTAAGCTTATGAGTCACACCACAAAAATTTGGGAGCGAGTGGTTGAGCAAAGATTTCGAAAAAGTGTGAAAGTTTCGGAGAATGAGTTTGGTTTTATGCTTGGATGCTCAACAACTGAGGCAGTTCACCTTCTTAGACAAGTTGTGGAGAAATATAGAGACCCAAAAAAAGATCTGCATTTGGTGTTCATTGACTTAGAAAAGGCATATGATAGGGTACCTCGAGAAGTCCTTTGGTAGGCCTTAACTAGAAAAGTCATATCACGTAAGTATATCAGTATCATCATGGATATGTATGAGGCTTGTACTACGGGTGTTCGTACTAGTGTAAGGAGGACCACAAAGTTTGCTATTACTATCGGAGTACACCAAAGATTAGCTCTGAGTCCTTTCTTATTTGATATAGTCATGGATGAACTTACAAAGTCAAATCAAGAAGATATGTTGTAGTGCATGATGTTTGTCGATGACATTGTATTGATTGATGAGACGCAATCATGTGTTAAAGCAAAGTTAGAAGTATGGAGACAAACATTGGAGACCAAGGGTTTCAGATTGAGCCAAAACAAGACTGACTATATGGAGTGCAAGTATGTGGGAGGTAGAAGTAGTAGCAACACAGTGGTATTACTCCTGATGGTAAGGAGATATCAATGTGTGATATGTTTCGTTACTTGGGCTCCATAATTTAAAAGGATGGGGATTTAGATGGAGATGTATCCCATAAAATCAGAGCTGGGTGGATGAAATGGAAGAGTGCATCAGGATTTCTATGCGATCGAGGTATGTCAACTACACTGAAAGGTAAATTTTATCGAACAACAATTAGACTTGCATTAATGTATGGAGTAGAGTGTTGGACGGTGAAACAATGTCACATTCAAAAGATGAGTGTGGAAGAGATGTGTATGTTGCGTTGGATGTGTGCACATACCAGAAAAGACCGCTTGAGGAATGAAATAATCAGACAAAAGGCGGGAGTGCATCAGGATTTCTCGTTTGCAAGAGTCTCGTTTGCGGAGGTTTAGACATGTGCGTAGAAGACCGAGTGATGCACCTGTTAGACGGCTTGAGGGATGGGAGAAGAGACAGAGAGGAGGGGGGCAAACAGGCTTGGATTAGAGGAATCAGAACTGATATGCGTCTTCTGGGGTTGGATAAGAGTATGACTTTGGAGATAGCAAAGTGGATGGTGCACATTCGTGTGGAAGATTGATCTCTTTTCTATCTATCCTCTCTCTTTTTCCTTTATCATTTATCTTCTTTATCTTTTTATGTTTTTTATCTTCTAGCTTTTTATGCTATTTTTTCTTTTGATCTTTTATCTTTCTTATATTCTTATGTTATTTTTATTTTATATTTATTTATCTTTATCTTATTTGTTTTATCTTACTTTTTTACTTTTCTTTTTCTTCTTCTTGTTTGTCTTCTTTTATTGCATCGATATCATGGATCGATTCATGTTAGCCGAAAATCTGTTGGGATTAAGGCTTGTATGTTGTTGTTGTTGGGGGAGAGTCTGGGTGCCTTTATTCAATACAAATCTGTAGTGAATATGAATAATATAATGATTGCTTTTGGGATTCATCACTTTCTAAAACGCAAGAGATGAGGGAAGGATGAGTTTGTAGTTTGAAGCTAGATATGAGTAAGGCGTATGACCGAGTCGAGTGAAAGTCTTTGAGACAAACTATGATAAAATGGGTTTTGGTCTAAGATTGATCTCGTTAATCATGGAATGTATTTTGACAGTGAGCTATTATTTTCATAGTCAAGGAGTTGGTGTGGTCTATTGTACTGGAAAGGGGGTTGAGACAAGAAGGTC